CCCCCCCCCAAGGGCACCAGATGATGGGGAGAGGAGGCAGCTGGTGCCAGCCTGGGCAGAGCAATTGCCCCCCCCCGCCCCGCTGGTGGCCAGGCCAGGCCAGGGAGAACTCTACGATCCATGGACAAGCTTCCCCCAGCTCCAAATCTCCAAACACTCCTGCCCCCACTGACCCCTCCAGCTGCCCCAGATCTAGTACTTCTGTGGGCCCTTCCCAAATCCCCCCTCAAATCCCACCCTGGCTCGGACCTCAAAGTGCTGCAGGGCAGGAGCAGAGGCTGCGGGGGAGGGAAACTGAGGCACTGTATCCCTTTAGAGTCCAGGTCCCTCTCCTGACCCATCTTCCTCCCAGGATCCCCCTGCCCCCCCATTGCAGGGGATGGAGCCCCCAACCCAAGTCCTACCCCCATCCCTTCCTCCGCCCCCCACCCTGTTCCTGCCCTAGGCCAGGAGCCCTCCCAATTCCGACCCCCCCAGTCCCTGCTGTGGGCTCGGAGACCCCCCCACCTTTCCCCCCATCCCTCTCCACCCAGCGCCCGGCGCTCACCAGATGTCGACCTTCTCAGAAACGGGCTCATTGCGAATGACCTCGGGGGCCATCCAGGCCACGGTGCCGGCAAAGGACATCTTGGTGCTCTTGTCACTCAGCTCCTTGGAGGTGCCGAAGTCCGAGATCTTCACCACGTCATCGTAGGTGATCAGCATGCTGGGTGGGGGACAGAGGGGATCAGCATGGGTGGGGGGGTGCTATCCCCTCCACCAGCAGGGGGCAGTCCCTGAGGCCTCTTGGCACCCCAGGCGCTGGGTCCCTGGAGGCCCCCCAGGGAGCAAAGTGGGGCTGGGGGGTTTCCACTCTTGGCAGGGCTGGGAATGGCTCATGCCGGAGATTGATCAGGCTGCATCTCCTGCACTCACCAGCAGGGGAAGAGATGGGCAGGTTTGCGCAGGCTGGGGGTGGGGGTGATGGGCCTCACAGCGCTAGCTGGTGACTCTGCCCTTGCCCGGGGGTGCCCCCTCCCCTGCGGGACCCAGACTGGTCTCTGCCCCCCTTCCCCTGCAGACCCCATGTCCATCCCTGCTTCCATCCCCTGCAGGTCCCATGCCCCACCCTGCCCCCCATTCCTCTGCAGGCCCCATGCCCATCTGTGCCCCCTTCCCTGCAGGCCCCATGCCCATCCGTGACCCTCATTCCTCTGCAGGCCCCATGCCCATTCCCACCCCCTGCCAGCTCTCGTTGCCGCCACTTACTTGGGCGACTTGAGGTCGCGGTGGATGATCTTGTGCAGGTGCAGGTAGTTCATGCCGCCTGCGATGCCCATGGACCAGTCGACCAGCAGGGAGGGGGTGACCTTGCGCCCGGCTCGCAGCACCTCATACAGCTGCCCCTGGGCGCAGAACTCCATGATGATGCAGTAGCAAGGAGCCTGGGTGCAGACGCCCCTGAGGGGAAGGAGAGCAGGGCGGGGTAGGAACCAGCCGGGCAGGAGGTGGCACCTCCTCCTGGCCAGGGACAGATGGTGCCAGCTGGGCAGAGATGCCTGTCTGGTTGGGCATAGTGGGGACATCGTGGCCTTGCCCCTCCTAGGGAACCTTGTGCCCCTCACCCGTCCTGGCCTCAGCTGTTGGGTGAGTGCCCCTCCCAGAGCGCGGGCACCACTGCACGCCCAGACACAATGGGGTGTAAATGGGGGTTGGGGGTGGGCACAGCCTGGCAGGGCCACGGACCCTGCATCCCATGCGTGTGCATTACTGTGGGTACATGGGAGGGTGCCCTGGGTTTTGTTTACCCCAGGTGGGTGCTGCCCCATGGGAGGAGCTGGGGGGTCTCTCCCACTGTTCGGGGTGCTCCCTCCCCCGCACTCACTTGAAGGTGATGATGTTGGGGTGTTTGAGCTTGCGCAGGTGTTTGATGTCCGTCTCCTTGAGGTCTCGCACCTTCTTCACCGCCACCTCCTCGCCGTGAAAACGCCCCAGGAAGACAGCACCCTGCGCCCCGCTGCCCACCCACTGGAGGTCCAGGATCTCCTCGAATGGCACTTCCCAGGTGTCTGGAGGGATGGGGGAGGGGGTGAGTCCCAGAGCCAGCACCACCTGCCCTGGGCACAGAGATGGGCTGGGGGAGGGTGAGACCCAGAGCCGATGCCACCTGCCCTGGGCACAGAGATGGGCTGGGGGAGTCCCAGAGCCAACTCCACCTGCCCTGGGCACCACTCCCTAGTGATGCTCTGCAGAATCAGTTCCCAGGCATCAGGGCCAAACAGCCACCGGTGAGGGGATCGCAGGACCCTGAGGCCCCTCCTGCCCCCACCAGGGCACCTGCCACGCTGAGGCAGAGCGGCTCCCAGCCTTCTTGGGTCATAAAGTGTGACCGCAGTGAACCTGCAACTCTGTGTCTGGGGAGGAGGCACTGCTGCCCTCTGCTGGATGGAATCAGCACTGCCCTGCTGTGTGCCATAGGCCCTACCCTGCTAAGAGCTCATGGAGAGTCTCCTGCTCCAATGGCAGGTGCTTGTGGAGCAGGAGAATCCGGATTCTCTCCCCGTGGGCGTGTCCCCAACACTACTCTGGGCATGGCCTCAAGTCCACACGTTCCGGTTCGGGTGAGACCGCCAGCAGCCAGAAGGAGGAAGAGGAACATCTGGGTGATTAAAACCTGCAGGCGAGTCCCTGGGTTGTGGTTAGTGCGTGTGTGTGTGCACGCACATGTGTGTTTCTGTGAGTGCATGCGTGTGGGTGCATGTGTACAAGTGTGCATGTGTACACACGTGTGCACACGTAAGTGTGCATGCACAGTCCCTGCACATCTGTCAACCCCTGCAGTGCACTTTCGCTCTCTCCTGCTTCCCTCCCTGTGGCAGCTGCGACCCCCCCCAGCAGAGCTGACAGGGCCAGCGTGTCCCAGCCCCTCCCCTCTCTGAGCTGCGGCCCCTGTGATAGGCCAGAACCCGGGAGGGCGTGGGGCAGGCCCTAGCAGGGGCTTTGGTATCTCACAGGCCCCAGACCCCCCTAGGGTTGCCTGCTGCAAACACGCGTCCCAGTGGAATCTCTCGTGCTGTGGGGCCCAGGCAGCCCGCCCCATGGGGCTCAGCGCAAGGCCCAGCGGGCCAGGGAGCTGCACACAACCGTGGGCACAGCCCCACCTGCAGACACAAGTCGTGACACACACACACACACCCCATCGAAACATAGAGCGCCCCCCGCCCCGGGATCTCCCTCCCTGCACAGGATCGGGGCCTTCAGGTGCATACGTGTGCAGGGGTTCACCGTCATGGATCAGACGTCCTGGCCCGGCCCTTTCGGAGCTGACAGTGTCAGAGCTGGCTCTGCCATCAAACGGGGGCTGCTGGCTGCCTGGCAGAGGGAGCTGCCCACGGTGTGCCAGGCACACGCCACCTGCACGCTCACTCACTAACACACATGTAGGCGTGTGCATGCACTCACAGCTGCATGCAAAGACACACAGGTGCACGCACACTAAAACGATCACATCCCCCATGCACACTAACACACCTGCCACCTTCAGAAAGGCACCCAGCCACCCCGGGCACACGCTCCCAGGCACACGCACACGTTCACATGTACACACACACATACACACAGACTCCCAGGCACACACACACACACACACACACACTCTCAGGCACATGCTCACATGTACACACACACACTCCAAGGTTCACATGCACACACTCCCAGACATATGCACATGCTCACACATACATACTCATACACACACATGGTCCCATGCACACGCTCACACATTCACACACACACACTCTCAGGCACACAATCACATGTACACACATACACACACACACTGCAAGGCTCACATGCACACACTCCCAGATACATGCACACGCTCACACATACACATTCACACACACACTCCCAGGCACATGCTCTCAGGCTCACACACGCATGCCCCCCCCACCACACACTCAGGCACACTCTCACATGTACACGCTCACACACACACACACACTCCCAGGCTCACATGCACATGCTCCCAGACACATGCACACGCTCACACGTACACACACACACACGCTCCCAGACACATGCACATGCTCACACGTACACACACTCCCAGGCACACACTCACACACACACACTCCCAGGCACATGCTCCCAGGCTCACACGCTCCCAGACACACACTCCCAGGCTCATACACTCGTCATGCTCGCTCACACCCACTCACGCTTGCTGACGTGCTCACTGCTGCAGGGAAGTCACTGCCAGCAGCCCCCACTCCAGCCTGGGCTCGGGGCCAGCCTGGCCTCCATCCCTGTCCTCCCACCCCCTCGACTGACCCCAGCCACAGACGCCAGAGGCCTGGCAAGGAGCCCAGCTGGGCAGAACTGGAGCGAGGGATGGGAGCAGGGCCGGTTGGGCAGAGAGGGCCAGAGCTGTTGGGGGAAGTGGACCGGGTAGGGCTAGACTCTGGAAGAGAGACTTTACGGGAGCTGATATTTCCCCATCTAATCTTTCCCCCTCCTCTTCCTCCTGGGGAGACGCCGACCACAGGCCCTGCCCTTACAGACCCCAGTGCTCGCCTCGAGAGCTGGGGAATTCACCCCAGAGCCCTGGCTTGGAGGATTCCATTCTGTGCCCCCTAAATCTCATCCCCTCTCCTGGCAGATTCGCGGGGACATGACGTCCTGCGTCTCCTCTTCCTGCCCTGGACTGCTGCGGGTCGTTGGCAGGTTAAACAGCTGCTGTGTCTCCCCCCCAGAGGTGGCTGCATTTCAGTCAGAGACAAAGCCGAGCACATGGGGATGGTAGGGGCCTGGGCCCAGCCTCTAACTATTCCAAGATTCTTCCCTCCGCTCCCTGGGGGGCTCCGTAGGAATCGACACTGAGAGCAGCATTGTCCTAGCAGGCCTGCAGCCATGTCCCGGGGGGCAGCTGGGATCAAACACGGACCCCCTGGATTCCACAGACACGAGCCAGCGTGGCTTGGCTGGCTGCAATAGCAGTCTCAGAAACCGCCTTACATGATCCAGCCACTAGAGGGAGACAGAGAGCCACGCTGTGACTCTAATGGCACTACAGTGCCGACAACTTATACCGGCGGGCCCAGTGACTCCCATGGGGCTCGGCTGAGTTACACCAGCTGGGGATCGGGCCCAGTCACTCCCATGGGGCTCGGCTGAGTTACACCAGCTGGGGATCGGGCCCAGTCACTCCCATGGGGCTCGGCTGAGTTATACCAGCTGGGGATTGGGCCCAGTGACTCCATGGAGCTGCTCCTGATTGAGCACTGGTGCAGGTCAGATCAGAATCCAACTTAGAGCTGGAGCAGCCCATCAGCACCCCCAGCTGGTCACCAGGCCAGGCCAGGCCGGCTCCTACAGCCCGTTGCCCGGGTCCCATTAATGCCCCTCCCTGCCACAGCCAGGGCCACGCACCTTCCTGCTGGTGCTTGTGCTCGGTGGAGTAGGCTTTGCCGATCATGGTCCAGACGGGCCTGAGACAGCCGAAGAGCCCTTCCAGGAAGCCGCTGCCCGTCTGGCAGTGAAGCCGGACCTGGTCGGCGTGGTAACGAGTGTGCCGCACCTCGGGGTTCCCGGCACCTGCCCCAGCTCCCCCGCCCCCACCGCCAGCCTCATTCTCGTGCAGCTGCAGGACGCTGTTGGCGAACTGGTCGCGCGTCTCCTCGCTGGGCGTGGGGCTGTGGCCGCCCCCGTCGATGGGCACCACGTCTCGCAGCACGCACTGCGTGGGCGTCAGGTCCTTCTCGGGGGTGCAGTCCGAGGTGTCGGGGTCCAGCTTACGGAGGGAGCTCTCCGTCAGGATGGTGTTGAAGCTGGCGAAGGACGGGGAGGGGGTCCGGGTATCATGGAGGCAGGCCATGGCGGGCTCTGGGCATCAGCAGCCCCCGCACCCCTTGGGCTGGCGGTCGATGGGCGTCCCCGGCAGGGCCTGAGGGAGACAGGGCCTGGAGGGGAAGGAAAATACTTGTGAATAGGATCCCACTGGAAATCGTAGCCCCCTTGGGGGCAGCCAGGTGTATCCAATGCCCGTCTGCCTGCTCCACTGCTGGGCACCTGCCATGGGGCTGGCTTTGCCAGCCATCCCCAAGTGGACGGCACGCACCATGCTGAACGTGCCAGGCGTGTCCAGGGAGAAGGCACCTCGCCTCCCACCGACTGTACCCCTGGGAGAGGCGGTGGCGGTGGTGGGGGGGAGACAGCCCAGGATCGCCCGCATGGCCAGAGTGGGCAGGGAGCTGCTGGCTTCTCTGCTCCTGCCGGTCTCACCCCGGAGCGGCAGCCCGAGCTCTGTCCAAGGTGCTGAAGCTCCTGACCTGCCCCTTGGCTGGTCCCTCGCCGTGTGCCTGCGTCCAGCTAGGCAGGTCCCGGCCCCCTCTGGGACCGACAGTTAATACTACAGACCCATTGCATTGGGGGGTGGGGGAGGGAGGTCATGTTGGAAGAGTCCTGGCAGTGTGGCCTAGTGGCTGGGGCATCGGGGGCTTGGCTCAGGGCTGGCAGTGATTCCAGACACTAGTGCCCAGGTGTGAGATGCACCCTTGGAGCACTATCGTGCTGGCACCAGAGCTGCGGTGGGGGGGACATGTGTCCCTAGCCCAACCGACTGGAGCCTGCATGTCTCGGGATCTTTCCCTGCAGCTGGCCCTCCAGCGCAGCGCCCCCGAACGTGTGTTCGTGGGAGTACGTGTGTGCGGGTAGCTGTGTTTGAGTAGCTGTGTGTGTGCTGAGGTGGGTGTAGCTGTGTGTGTTCGTAGCTGTGGAGCTCTGTGTGTGTAGTTGTGTGTCAGTGTGTAACTGTGTATGTGCCTAGCTCTGTGTGTACCTCTGTGTGTTGTGTAGCTGTTTGTCAGGGTTTGTGTGTGTAACTGTGTGTCTCTCTGTGTAGCAGTGTGTCTGTGTAGCTGTGTGTCAGGGTGTGGCTGTGTGTGTGGCTGTGTGTGTAACTACGTGTCTGTAGCTGTGTGTCAGTGTAGCTGTGTGTGAGTAGCTGTCTGTGTGTACATGTGTGTGTAGCTGTATGTCCGGGTGTAGGCTCTGTGTGTGCATAGCTGTGTATTAGTGTATAGCTATGTGTGCAGCTGTGTGTATGTAGCTCTCTGTGTGTCTGAGTATGTGTCTGTGTGTCAGGGTGTAGCTATGAGTGTGTAGCTCTGTCAGGGTGTAGCTCTGGGTGTGTAACTGTGTAGCTATGTGTACAGCTGTGTGTACGTAGCTCTCTGTGTGTCAGGGTGTATGTGGCTGTGTGTTGGGGTGTAGCTCTGTGGTGTAGCTCTGTCAGGGTGTAGCTATGTGTGTGTAGCTGTGTATTAGTGTGTAGCTATGTGTACAGCTGTGTGTACGTAGCTCTCTGTGTGGCTGTGTGTCAGAGTGTGTGTAGCTGTGTGTTGGGGTGTAGCTTTGTGTGTGTAGTTCTGTCAGGGTATAGCTGTGTATTAGTGTGTAGCTATGTGTACAGCTGTGTGTACATAGCTCTCTGTGTGTCAGGGTGTATGTGGCTGTGTGTTGGGGTGTAGCTCTGTCAGGGTGTAGCTGTGTATTAGTGTGTAGCTATGTGTACAGCGGTGTGTACGTAGCTCTCTGTGTGGCTGTGTGTCAGGGTGTATGTGGCTGTGTGTCGGGGTGTAGCTCTGTGTGTGTAGCTGTGTCTCAGTGTATGCGTGCCCCCATGCCATGTGGATGGATGAGGTTGCGGTGGGAGATGGCAGCGCTGGGCCAGGCTCTCTCCCACACAGGTGCCAGAGCTCAGCTCATTTAGCATGCAGCGCAGCAGGCTTCCCGGGAAATCAGGCTGCTGTGCGGGAACCAGGAGCCGGCCCCGTCTGGCTGCTCCCCTCCCTGAGGTAGCAGGGGAAGCCCTCACCACAGGCCATGCCACGTCACCTCTTCAGCAGTCACCGGGTGGGACAGCATCGCCCAGGCTGGAGCTGACACCCCCCCACACCCTCCCAACCCAGCCATTGACCAGAACAGTAAGGCCACCACTGCCCCCCTGCCCCACAAGGGCCGGCACAGGCGGGCACAGCTGCTCAGGACCACCGAGTGCCGGGGTGAGGGACCCACGACGGTAACTCTCGGTATAAATCCGATGAGCAATGTCAGGGATCCTGTTGTTGAGACAATCCACAGGGAAGCTGGGGTTGTCCACAGAGGCTAGGGGAGTTAGGTACCCAAATCCCAGTGAATTTCAATGTCAGCTGTGCACTGAAATCCCTTAGGCCATATAGATCACTAGATAGATCCAGTGGAGGCAGAGGGAGTGGGGGAACAAGGATAGATGGGGGAGGTATGAGGATAGATAGATAGATAGATAGATAGATAGATAGATAGATAGATAATGGGAATATATATTGAGAGAGACAGAAGGGGTGTATGAGGATAGATAGATAGATAGATAGATAGATAGATAGATAGATAGATAGATAGATAGATAGATAGATAGATAGATAGATAGACATGGGGATGGATGGTTTCTTTCTTTCTTTACACCTCAAGACACCCATCTCACCCTGCCATCGTTACAGACCCTTACACGCACATTGTGAGCCTTGACCCTGTCTCAGGCGGGTCCGGCTCATTCAGGGAAGGTGGGCGGCGCATTAGCCAACGGGTCACCAAAAGGCCGGGTCAAAGGGGATTGTTTCACACGTTTGCTCCCCCTCGCTGAGCCTGCTGACAAGCTTCTCTCTGCAAATGACATCAAAACTGACCCACACGGGGTTAATTCTCCACGCTAGGCTCCGGGGTACGTTAGGGGCTTGCTAACTCCCACAGCCTGCTGGAGGACAGGGTAACCAGGCTTGGGTTTAAAGCATAGGACCAGGAATCAGCCCTCCTGGGTTCAATTCCTGCTTCCAGGAGGGGGCCACAGAGCAGTGGTTAGACCCAGATTCTGGGACTCAGGATACCTGGGTTCTAGTCTCAGCTTTAGAAGGATAGAGCATGAACCTAAAGCCCAGAGCTAGGCATCAGGATTCCTGAGTCCTATTCCCTTTGCTGTGTTATGGGGGGGGGAGACTCTTTGTGCCTCAGTTTCCCCATCTGTTATGTGGGGATAATGCTCTGAGCTGGTGGGGCTAAATTAATTACTCTTTGCAAAGTGCTATGAGATCCTCAGATGGAAGGTGCTGGCTGAGTGCGGTGCTTCCTGGACTCGTCCCCCCCACCAGCTGTGGTGTGGGGGGATTGCTATAATTTAAAGAGGTCCCAGAGGACACAGGGCACTTTATAGACATGGTTCCCTGCTCTCAGGTGCTTAGGGTATAAAAATAGATCAGACGATGAGTAATGAATAATGACGGGGTGAAACCAGGGCAGGAGAGAGGTCTTATACCAGCTTGCGCCACAGGTGATGGAGTCACAGGGCACATGCTGCCCATACCCTGATCTGCCACTACAGCCTGGCTGCAAAATCCTCCAGCAATGACACATCAAGGCAATTGACCTCCCAGCGGAGCAGCAGCAGCTTCCTGACTCCCCAGGGCTACAAGACGGCAGAGTGGATGCAGCGGGATCCTGCCCCATTCATGCCCCTCCCAGCAGCTCCCGGGCCCAGCTCGGGATCATCCTGTCTGTGACACCCGTCACCTGCGGGGAGGATCCAGCCATGACTCTGCGGACGATGCGCGAGTCAGGTTAGAAGCTGGCTCGCTTGGCCCTGGGCTCCCTTGGGGCTGACAGGAGGGGACGTTGGCTCGGAGCAGCACATGGGACTCAGAGCCCAAGGAGATCAGAGCCTTCAGCCATCTCTGGGCCAGATCCTCCCAGTCTCCCACTCCATGCCCCAGCTCCCGGGCAATGTGCCTGCCACTCCCTTTAACCATCGGGTGAGCCAATGGCTGCCAGCCGGGCTTGTGATTGGCTGGCAAGCCATGTGTATAAAAATTAGGCCAGGCTTTGGGCCACCCAGGCGAGACTCCATGTGGGTCTGTCTCTCTCTGAGGCTGCTGACTGACATTTGGGGCTGCACGTGCGGCTTAGTGTGAGCGGCGCATCGGGGCCTGGCGGGGGGCACGGTGACACACTGTGAACTGGGGTCACAACTAGGGCCTAGGAGGGAACCTGGAGCCCAGAAATCCTGACAGGCTCCTCACCCCCAGCCAAGCAGGGCCTTTCCCTACTGAACTTGGCTTAACTTCCTCCCAGCCTGGCTTCAAATGCCCCAAGCAAAGGAACTTCCCCAGCCAGGCCCATCCCACTTCTCCACAACCAATGTTTCATTTCCCACTTTGTAAACATACCCCCCCTGCTCCTTATCACCTCCTTATACTGAGTGGCAGGTCTCCTCTCTCTCTCCCGGATGCTCACAGCCTGCAAATAACTACCACTGGGGGCATGGGGCTATAGATATACTGAGGAAGTTTAGAGAGGAGAGCTGGGGATAGATAGATAGATAGATAGATAGATAGATAGATAGATAGATAGATAGTATGGGGATCTATAGATAGATTATCTCACTCTCATCCCCCTTAACCATCATTTGGCTGGGCTGTCCAGGTGATACTATTTTGCTCTGTCTCTTGCATACCTCAAAACAGCCCCCCCCCCCATTCCTTCCCCCCTTTCTGTGACTCTAACCCGGTCCAATGTGTCCATCTCTATCTAGTAAGCAGGTGTCCAGTGCGGATTGCGATGGGCTGATCCATTCCCCCCACTCCGTCCCAGTGCATGAGCGCTGGCTGAAGCACCCCTCCCCCACCCTTGGGGTAACTCTGGCCCCATGTCTGTCTGCCCTCGCCATTCTGGAGTGACAGCTGAGCAGGGCCCCCCACCAGCAGGGCAGGCCATGCCAGCAGGGAGCAGAGCAGCCCCCCTCAGTGGGTCAGTAGGTCCTGGGCTCAGTCACGCACAGGAACCAGCCTGGCATGAAACGCACAGCACAGGCGCCTGGCTAGCATGGGTCTGGGGGTGGGGGGCCAGGATATGGGAGTTCTGCTGGGAATGTGCG